TGTAGTTTTCCCCGCGAAGATCTGGCCTTTTCGGGACATGTTTGCACATTCCGGTTAACAGACAAATTTCTGGTCATCTATTGTGGCCCTGAAAACAGGTACCTCGAAATGATCAGACATAGTTGGAGGCAACACTAACGTCCAGATTAGTACAAGTGACACAATGAATTTGAAGCCTTTAATGATCCGTTCAACCATATGACCGCTTAGTTGTTCACTCTGTGGCTATTTCATTAGGCACATTAGAGTCGACCTGAAATAAAATACATGGTTTTCTTGCTAATGGTTGGTCCCCCTTTTTCTCGCAATTGGACAATAATTTTAATTTTCGTATCCCTACGTGTAAAGCATTTCATCTAAGAATCAGTTCATCCCCGAACCGCAATTGATCCAGTGACTATGTCTCTCTCTCTCTCCTATTTCCACAGTTTATTAGACTGTGATTGGTCTCGTGAATACTCAAAATTGTGAAGGAAGTATTTGATAGACTCATCTGTAGTCTGCCAATCAAGACCTCCTACGAGTTGCCTTTATGTGGCAGAGGTGTTTTCCCAACAAGACAACATCAAGAGCTGTAACTTGGTCCGTGAATCCCCTAGCGGATGCATATATATATATACGGGTCTAATCGAAACTGAAGCAACAGGTCCCCGTGGAACACTTTCCGGTTCGTATGGGCAACAGCACTTATACTACAGTAAATGTTTTTCAAAACTAATAATTAACAAGTCTTGGAGAGTCTTTGTATCCGTGATTTTCCTGAATCGTTTATACTCAGCAGATGGAATGGTTCAAAATGTAGCGGATACTCCCATTTCGTCAGTAGTGGTTGACCTAGACCACGATGAGTTAAGAGCTAACTAAAGAGAATGGAATAGTTTTTATTAGAAACAAATTAACATTGATAATAAGCAAGATGTAAAGTTTGTGTGCACTAGTAGTCAATTAGTCTGTTTTTGTTCTTTAGAACTTTTTTGAGTCTCTTCGGTGTCAAACCCACCAACTTTGTTATGAAGTTATTTTCTCTGTTGTGCTCCATTACGTATCGCACTTTTGCCTCCAAGGTCCAATGCATAGGTAGCACATTGACCTATCTCTTCAAAACAGAAAACAGATTTTCAATCACGTTGAGATCCGGGATATTAGGAGGAAGTTGCATGAACTGGACCTTATTTAATGCAATTTCTCTGGCTTGTGATAGAATTTCATTTGGTTATCCAATAGCGTTGCTATAATGGATTATACATTAGATAAAATAATGCCTGATTACAAATAAGGGAAATGGCAAGGGTTGACGGAAGTAATTTGGGATGATTCTTAAGTCATTCTTATTGGAAGTATTGCGTTTTCATACTTGATACATTTCGCGATTCTCATGTTCAGATCATTTATTCTTGGCGCTCAAGGTCAGACACG